GACCTTTCTAAAAGCTGCGAACAATAATCTAGGTAGAATAATTGCAGTATATAGACATTTGGCTACCCATGGTTTGCGACCCCATGTTTTACCGACAATTCTCCTACATTGTACCATAGATATTGTGCCTTTCCTGTATATGTTATTAATATGACCTTTCCAATCAAGTTTCCTGTCAAGCGTCACACCAAGGAATTTGATTGAATCCACTAACTTTAATTCTATGCCCTGACTACATATCCTTACTTTATAAAAAAAGGGTATTACTTACTTTATAACAAAATATATGTTTTTAGGAAATATCTATTATATTGCAACAAAAGTTTTTGGCCGAATCCATAGAAGCTAGTTAGTACGAAGGGCATAATCGGACTGGCTCAGAGGAATAGAGTAGCTTAAGAATTCTATTGAGATTGACCGGCATTTTAATAACTGCTTCAGCTTGCTTGATGTGTCCTACACGATGGAATACGGTCTCTGTTCGTTGGTTCCATATAGTAAGCTAGTAAGAACGACATCCGACATGACCTACAATAGATCGCATTGTGACTGTCTAGGTCCATTGATAACTATATTTGCAACTAAATCTTTAAAACTTCTATTGTGTATAGTCGTTTCATCTGATCAATTTTCACGAGGGATTGAATGTATTTATTAGCGAGAATGTATAGTATGAGAGACATATGGCGAAATATCGAGTACTCCATATCCTTACTTTATAAAAAAAGGGTATTACTTACTTTATAAACAAATATATGTTTATAGGAAATATCTATTATATTGCAACAAAGTTTTGGGCCGAATCGATAGAAGCTAACGAGTACGAAGGGCATAACCGGTCTGGCTCAGAGAAATAGAGAGCAAAGAATGCTATTGAGATTAACCTGTACTTTATTAAATTCTTCAGCTTGTTTGATTAGTAGGAACGATATATGACCTATAATTTATCACATTGCGGCCGCCTGAGTCCATTGATAACTATATTTGTAACTAACTTTTTAAAACTTCTATTGTGTATACTCGTTCTATTTGATCAATTTTCACGTGGGATTGAATGTATTTATTAGCGAGAATGTCTAGTGTCGGAGGTCTATGGCGGATCATTGAGTACTCCATCTCCTTACTGTAGAACAGTGAGAAAATGTATATATATATACAGGGTGAATTGCTACTCGTGCTACAAACTTCTCCAGTAGATTCTTCACCCTAAAATGAACAAAAAAGTTCATATTGTCCATGGTCCGATTCTCAACCATTTCAGAGTAATTTCGCTTTTTATCGATTTTGAAAGATATCACGTCCTGGCGTCGGAAAATCGTGATATCTTTTAATCTAAACATTTCTCTGAAAATCTAATAGCACCGTTGAAATTCCCGTTAATTTTTCAATAAGAAGATGACGGTGGCAAAATGTTTGGGCTAATTTTTTGTGTTTTATTTCAGCCAGAACTACAAAAAGAGTGGAAAATTGTGTAAATCGGAAAGTGTATAAAGTAATCCAGAGTTTCTAATTTTAGTCTCAGAAGGCAGCAAATTTGAGGAAAACTACCTGATTTAATAACGCTTCCAACGCACTCGTCATTTTCTTATTTAGTGGTTGTGAGACCAAGATGTTGATGACAAAAAGAGAAAAAATGGTGGTTCAAGGATTGCTAATGTTTGAGAGTGACTTGCTACTCGTGCTACAAACTTCACCAGTAGATTCTTGACCCTAAAATGAACAAAAAAGTTCATATTGACCATGGTCCGATTCTCAACCATTTCAGAGTAATTTCGCTTTTTATCGATTTTGAAAGATATCACGTCCTGGCGTCGGAAAATCGTGATATCTTTTAATCTAAACATTTCTCTTAAAATCTATAAGCACCGTTGAAATCCCCGTTAATTTTTCAATAAGAAGATGAAGGTGGCAAAACGTTTGGGTCTTTCTTCCTTGACCTTCTAGCTGTTTGTAAACTTCTTAAGCATTACATACTAAATGGGCATTAAATTAAATTAAAAAATTTCAATGGAATTATGATTTTGATTCTCTCTAAAAATTAACGGGGATTTCAACGGTGCTTATAGATTTTAAGAGAAATGTTTAGATTAAAAGATATCACGATTTTCCGACGCCAGGACGTGATATCTTTCAAAATCGATAAAAAGCGAAATTACTCTGAAATGGTTGAGAATCGGACCATGGACAATATGAACTTTTTTGTTCATTTTAGGGTGAAGAATCTACTGGAGAAGTTTGTAGCACGAGTAGCAATTCACCCTGTATATATATATAAAACAAAATATGGCCATATCAACAAAAAATTTGGTCAGAAGCACATGTGCATAATCGAAAAAGCTCTGAAGATAAGAATAGTAGAAAAAGAAGAGATTAAACGGTAATCTAATAACTGCTACATGTTGAAATACGATGTCTATGGGTTGGTTCATTATAAAAAGATAGTCGGAATGACATCCGTTTTCAAAATGAAAGTAACTATGTAAAACTTCTATATCAGATCATGCTTAAGTAGATTGAATGTACTTATTAGCGAGAATTAAAAGTGTGAGAAGGCCGTTTGAGTCCAACTCTGGGTCGAAAAGTATTGCACATAGTTAACATACCAGACCGTCAAAACCTCTTTCAGGCTCTTTATCATCGTCAGTGAAGACAACATTGATAACCAGGACTTGAAAATTTAAATTGACGGAAGCAAAATTGAAGACCAGGTTGGCTGTACCTTCATTACAACTGCAACAAGACCTGTACCGGAGTGGAGGTCATAGCTACCGCTCGTTTTATCAATCGGTATCCTCAGGATAAGCCATATCAGTATCCCCTGACTTATTCACCTCTCTAGACAGTTTTTCATCACTAGTTTTCTAGATGTACAGGTGCTTCTTGTCCAATCCCCTTGCCCGGCGTAGTGTCAATTTATTTGTTACTATTCTTTATGAAAGGGTGTAAAAAATAGTCAAATTACTATTTGGCTATAAAAACATAAAAAGTCGAATTTAAATCAACGAATAGTTCGGAAAAAGTAGGTTAGCGGTATTTTTACTGTTGCGGTACTGTTTTTTGTCGGCTTTGTCCTTGATCTTTGATGCTGCATTGATTTGACACAAAAATGGAAATACAGTCCGAAAAGAATAACGAAAAAGTCACCAAAATAGTTGTTGAATAGAAAATGCCCTAATGATTGCCTTCCGATGGGGGTTGTCCTTCCCCTCGGTCGTCGCCAATTAAGGGACATCGCAAACGTCCAGGTCACCTTTCAGCACGGATTGTACAAAGGGTGACCGTAAAGAGGGAACTCACGATACATCCTCTTACGGTTCGTTAATGCTGGAAGTGCGGAAAGGCAATGGGGAGACGATCGGGCACGGGGTGGGACTCCGACGCCATTCCAAACATCCATCAACCCCCAATTAACTCTACAAATGCAGTTGCCATCCGGTATCGAGGCTCTATTGAAAGGCGAAGAAAGGGGGCGAAACCGCTTTTGCCGAGCTTTTTCCCTCTCCCATGTAAATGTAAGCTCCTTAGCTCCCTTTACGCGCCTCCTCTTTTTAAACGTACGTTTTTCCAAAGAGGCATCTTTAAGGAAACCTCTTTTTATCGCTGAAGAGTTAATTCCGGGTAATGGGACCTTTTCATTTCCTTTTCCACGCTGTGGGCGACGGAGCTTAACCGGCTCATCCGTTTTATCAAGTCGACTAAAAGGATCTCGCAAATTGAAAAGCCACCCTTTACCAGACCAATCAGCAGATTCGGAGAACGTGCATAGAGAATAGAACGAAATTATACATTTAAAAAGTACTTATTTATTAAGAAACTCCAAAAGCTGTGGATAAAGCCACAACCATCAAAATAATTCAAATAAAAAATTCATTATTAATAATACTTTATATTACTCTTTGTAACCTACGGATTATTAATCTGATAGAACAAAGCTCAACAAAAACTAGCTACCCAAACATTAGGCTGCATACAAGAGGGGCAATGAGAACAACCCCTAGGAATGCATTAGAAACTGCTAAACCTACTTCCACTGGAAATATATACAAGGAGAGGTTAGGAAAAGCTCATTTAGGCTCCAGAAACAATCAAATTGGATAGGAACTAAAAAATTCGGGCATACAACCATAATTAACAAAATCAGACACCCAGTCTTTGAAATGGGGACTGACTATATGATCCGGAAAACATTCTTTACAACATCCTATAAAGCCTCAACGGACTATAAAGGACAGGAAGAACTTAGGAGAGCTCTGTACAAGCCCAAAACATGAGCAATCAAACTCATTAGGGAAGTACACGTCGGTCTTTCAAGCAGAACTACATGCCATCAACGCTTGTGCCCGGAATTTTGAAAGAGGTCACATTGGCAGAAAACCCCTCATAAGATCTGATAGCCAAACAGCCATTAAAGCATTAGCATGTAAAAGAACCACATCAAAATTGTTCAGGGAATGCATCCAAAATCTCCAAAACCTGGGGAAACACAACAACCTGATGATACCTTGGATGTCAGAGCTCAGAGGAATTTTGGGTGATGAGAAAGCAGACAGACTGGCCAAAGGAGGATCTGCAAAACTTAGGCCCTGACCTATACTTGAAACTAGAAAAGGCATCGAGTGGAGAAGTTGCTGAATTAGAAATCATCACTTAATCGCTCACCTTATTGGGTCCGTCTTCACTCGCGGGTTTCTTGAAGATGGCCCAATGCCGAAATTGACCCTCTGTTGATTCCACCACGTGGCATAACAAAAATTATACGTACATTTATTTGTCCTCTCATTTCTTTATTAATCCAATTATTTTTCGTTTTGTAAACGTATTTATTATCCCTAGGATCGTAGAATTCATACATTGAACTTTTACGTTGTAGAGAATGTTCTTTTGTCAGTTGATTCCAATTCATACATAATATTGCAAAATTTTCTCATTGTGATTATTTTTTTACAGAACAAAACATTTTTAACTTATTTGAAAGAGTTTTGTTTTTTGTTGATTTTCAGAACTGGTCTCACCGAGCAGCACTGGAGAAACAAGTGCGGGCGCTTTTCGCCCAGTCACAAGATCGCCGGATTCAACCGTACCAAATTTATCAGGTAATCTTGAAAAAAAGTTCCATTTATTTTTAGTGGTCTAATGTACGTATTTCAATTAATTGTTCTTTTCATGTATGGTCTTGGTTGACATAAAAAAGGTAGAGTACCGAGCGAGATTTTAACCCACGACTTCGATCCATTCGGACACCAGCTTCCCTTCTAAACCTACAACCTTTGAAAAAATCGCAAAAAGAGGGTCAATTCGAAAGGTTGTAGGTTTAGATGGGGTGTTGTTGTTCCGAATGGATAGTCATTCCATCACCTTAATTGAACCTTATCGCTCAGTTTGATATGTGCATTGGGGTGTATTTAATTTCACAATAAATATATGATACTTATCAGCGTTTTTAAGCTGGTTTGACGTCACTATTCGGATATTAATTTAGAGACCTCGACCACCGTTTCTATTAATCTTTTCCTTCTTTCCTCCTGGTCATCGTCAAAAGCCATGAATTTTATGCCTCAGTCGTTCAACAGTCGAAAAGTTCGTTCCAAATAATAGGTCCCAGGACAGATCCCTGCGGGCAACCTCTCTGTATTTTTCTTCTGATTCGGTGTGTTGTGTTGACATTTCTACTTTTCTTTCCTCGACGTACCTTGTGATAATCTGGAACAGATTTCTCGGGCATCTTTTCCTGTTGAGTTCCTTAAGGAAGGAAAGACCATATAGTGAGTCGAACGCGCCTCGGGTACAGAAAAATATCGCCATTGACATGTCATTATCATTTTTTTTACGTATCGCAAAATTTTACTCATCCTCTGTTGAACGTTTTTTCATACAATTTATCTGAACTGTGTGCAGGTATGGCTAAAATTAATAGAATTATATCCCTTTGAAAAATGATGGTTAGCCGGTTCTCCAACTCCACAACGACTATATCAGTTCAAAAACCAATCCAGTCATATTTTACAAATATACTCGAGGTTATTTGCCTATAACAAAGCTTTTGTAAGAGCGCGGGAAAAGTGGTCTGAGAGAAGGGAGGAGTGAGGAAGGTTTGAATTTTAAGTTTGGTTTGGATCGTGAATCGGCACTCACGTGATGGTCAACCATCTCGAAGAAAGAAAAAAAAACATCACGAAGAAAGGACTACGTCTCAAGAGAAAAAATTTCAGCTAAGAAACTTTAATTCCTCTTCTTATCGATTTTTTTGTTTAATTTCGTTTCTTTCTTTCCAATTAAACATTAACTTGTTCGTTAACCCGTTTTTTTCAATTACCAATTCCTTGTTCTGAGAGAGATCTATTACAAACCATGCTCTCCTACCACTATTTGTAATCGATCTTTCTCGGAACTTCGAGATGTTGTTTTTTCTTTTTTTCTTTCTTCGAGATGTTTGACCACGTGAGTGCCGATCCACGATCCAAACCAAACTTAAAATTCAAACCTTCCTCACTCCTCCCTTCTCTCAGACCACTTTTCCCGCGCTCTTGCAAAAGCTTTGTTATATGCCATAAAACCATGCATTTACAGTATAATATTTATGATTTTTTTTTTTTTAGGAAATGACTGCGGAGGAAGCATGTCTCCTGTGGATTGCACTACGTGCGCGGCCTACACGGCCATGATCCCGGAATCAGTCAAACTTCCCAGAAATTAGAAAAAATAAATAAAAACAAAAAAGGGAAAATTCATGCACACCGGTTGTGATCCGGTTAGACCGCTTCTATGTTTTGCGTGTTCCTCATCCAAGTCCCGTGGCGTTTTAGCGACCCTGGGACCGTTTGGAAAAAAAATTTCAAACCCTCTCTTCCGAGAATTTTATCAAGATTAAGCTTTGGATTAAAAGGACTGAATCGTGCAATATATAAAATTTTATTTGTGATTAAGCACGTTGTTGTTCCATTAAGCCTCATCTAGTCAACACGTAGGTTGTGTCAATCACCCTTGGTTTTTAATCATGCCTAATAAAAATATCAATTATAAATATATATGATATGTAAATTAGATAAGACCGTGTAAATATTGTTTATTTATTTTATCGTCCAATCATAATTGGAATTGTTTAAGTTTTGGATTTGTTGGACATTTAAATAGTTTATTGTTTTGTAACGCATGTGTGTATATGTAAGATAGCAATTAGCGAAACGTTTTTGTTGTGTTCCTATTATATTTTTTCAAAATCGTTTGTGTAATTAATAATCGAAAATAAAACCTGTGACCACTTGATGTGATTTTATTGTAACACCCTTGCCAACTACGCAAAATTTGACAGCAAATTTACAGGCATAGAAAATTTCCTTTTTTTACTTAATTTATTTTCATCTAGAACTGTGTATGTATGATATCATTATACTAAATTTATTTAACACTCTAATTTCATCTCAACCTAAGTGAAATATTCATGCATTAAAAGCTCTAAGCCTTCTAGGAAAGGAACTTATACGAAATCTTTTATAAAAAAATACAATTTTTTTATTAAAAAGCCAGTGGCTCAGTCGGGATTCGAACCTAGAACGGCGAGCATGACAAATTCCATTCGGACATAAGGTTCCCAAATACTAAGCCGTCCAAAAAAGGACATGTAATTTCCCTCTGAAGTCGCAATGTTATATAACATTGAGGTTCTTTACGTGCGCATCTGGCCGATTAGACCGTATCACACGTTTAGATTCTCAAGTTAGGAGCGACTCACTTCCGCGCGGGGAAAATCTGCTTCTTCCGCGAGGTTCGGTGTAGAAGTCCACAAATCAGCAAACTAATCGATATACATGCCGACTTATCCCGCTTGCCCCTTCCAAGGGAGTGGGTTAACTTTTTGCACTCAACCAATGCCGTGCGTAATGGGAACCGACAAAAGTGGCCAAAATGCATTAGCCAAGTATCCCCACTCCCTAGATAGAGAAGACAACTATCTTCCTGGGTGTAGGGGCTCCGTTAGCGTCGAAACCTCCGGATCCGCTCCGGCCGCGGTTTCGTTTTAGTGGAATCTCTAACCACCCCTAGAGGAGTACCATGCCCAAAGGTCAGCCACCGACAAGCACCCGCCACAGTCCACCTCACGCATTCGAGGAACGCCGGCAGAGTAGTCATAGCTCCTCGTTGGCTCTACGCTCTCGGCAATCCGATCCGTCCGACACCCAAGAGGTCGGGAGGTAATTCGGAGGTTATGCGCAAGTACTACGATCCACGGCCACGAATGAGACACAGCATCTTCTCTAGGTACCCGCCAGGGGTCGTACCACTAGCCACTGCGAGTCCTTACCCATGCAGCTGGGCTTGAACCTGGAACGAAAAAACGCTGCCCAGCAGTACAGATGGCTATGCATCCTCCCCCGTCCGTATACATATTTAGACAGGATCTGGTACCCTAACCCGCGTGTGACTTTGATGTAGCACCCGCCGTTCGCGGCTAGCTCAAAGCCAGCAACTCGCTTAACGCATCTCGAGGGACTACGTAGGCGTAGTCTCAGCGGCATCGCACGCTATACGCTTCCTTGGTCCTATCATCAAAATGCAAGCAGAGGTTGGTTAAGGTGACCATGCGCGCCAGGAACCTAAAAAGGACAATGAGGATCTTTAACGTCCGCACCTAGTCTTTGGCCGTACCGGATGTTTCGATTCTAAAAATGAAAGATGACACACCTCCTCCCGCGACCGGATGTGTGTTACAGCCGCGAGCGTTGGTGTAGAAGCCACCCCAGCCCCAAGGGGCCAAGACGAACCTCACTCCCCGCTTGCCCATTCCGAGTGGTCGGGTCTGCATTGACTATCAGACCGTATGCCGCGCGTAAAAGGCTATCCAAGGTGTTGAAATGCATCAGCCTGGTCTCCCTCGCCCTCCCTAGATAGAGCCACTCTATCTTCCAGAGTATTGACACTCCTCCAGTGTAAGAACTACCGGATCCGCTCCGGCCGCGGCTTTGTTTAAAGTGGAATTGCTAACCACCCCCTAGAGGAGACTGCCTTTGGTAAAGGACGTCATTCGTGCAGGCACCACCGACCACTATCCATTCCAATCCACCACTTTTCACGCATTCGAAGGACTCCGTCAGCGTAGTCTGAGCGTCTTCAAGTCTATACGCTTCGATGGTGCGATCCTTACTATCCTTTGAGGCCGGATTTATAACGAAGGTCGTACGCAAGTGCTCGGGCAGAGGTCACAAATAGAAGTATAGCCTCTTCTCTAAGTTCTCGCCAGGAGCCTCACCACTAAGCACTACGAGTCCCGAAGAGGCTATTGATGTAGCAGGGGCTGGACTTTGGAACATTTCTGCTACCCCGTAGTACAGATGGTGTATTATGCAGACAGGATCTGGTATCCAACCCTTGTGTGCCTCTGATAAAGCTCCTTCGGACACCTTAACTTTTCGGCATGTGTGGCCCCCTTGTAAAACGAACATGTGTGTCATGCATTCTCTTGATGACCTAAAGAAAACAGACTGCCCCAAAAACATTTTCAGCTGTTTCGAAGACAGAAAAGCAAAAAAGCGATAAAGCACACCACTTTGTTTCGGGTGGCGAAAAGGATTTTGGATTGTGGCATTTAATAATTTCCTTGAAATCCTGGAAGAAGTAGTGATAGATTTTGTAGCTTTCATCGACGACCTCGTAAGCATCATTGAGGCCGGCACTAAAAATGAACTCGAAGGAAAGTTCGGAACCGTAGTAGGCAAAATTGTCAAATGTTGCAGTGAGGCAAAATGGAAAATATCCACCGTTGAATACCATACGCTCATGCTCAAAGGTAATTGATTGACTGCGCCTATTTTTAAGATAGAAAGTTAAGCAAGCGAAAGAGTTAATTTCTAGCCAAAGAACTTGGAGAAAAACTCAGCCGCACTCATCACGGCATAAAAATCGCACAGACGATGCACAGTCTCCAAATTGAGCAGAATTGCAAAAGCGACAAGCTGCCTAAGTTCAAAAGTCAAAGCCAAAATATCTTGGAACAAAGTTAGAAGAAAGATTTGCTAAGAAGAACGAAAGCCTACAGGATGACATCGACGCGCGCCCTCAAAGGCTTACGGCCAGCCGATTGACGAAATCCTCCAAAGTAAAGTCGGCATAAGTCAAAATAAAATGGGACAAAGGCCAAACTTACAAGGCGTAGAACTAAACTAGAGCTAAAAATTTAATAAACATCCCAAAAAGATAGCTGTCTGTATTCGTTAAAAATCGGATACACACTGCGGGGCAAAACAGATGGATAAACATCACTGAAAGAAGGATCACCTAAGAATGTTACTCAAACATTGAGCACGAGAGAAGTGGGTGTCTCCGGATTTCTGGGCCAGAAAAACCTTGACCGACCAAGACAACTTCTTACTTCTTTAAATTCAAAATGTTCGACAGCCCTTTATGCCCTAAATGCGATGCCGAACGATCTAAAAACTGGCCACCTGAATTGAACACATTGACAAACGAAAAAAATTGTACAGGCTTATAAATTGCTTAGCGCGAGGATACATATCGGGTTGTCCGGAAAATAATGCAGGATTTTAAGTTTTCATTAAAAAAAATCTATATAAAATATTCTGTTTACGTTTACAGGATTACTCATTTGTATGNTTTGATTAAAGAACATTGCTTTAAAGTAACTAGTTTCTTTTTTTTTGTTTAATACCAAAATCCTGCATTATTTTCCGGACAACCCAATAATTTGCAAGTCTATTTATTTATTTTAGAGTTTATTTATTTATCTATTGATTCTTCTATTTAGTTTTGTATGTTTGTTATTGTTATTCAAGCAATTAGTCCTATACATATTTATTGTGTTTTGTATTGAATATACTGTATTGGTTTTACATCGAGAGAAAAATTGCCGTTGAGATTTCTTAAACGTCAAATAATATTGGTCTAAGCCTGTAAAAACAATTGTCTAGATCTTCCTGCCAACTCGGCAATTGCTTTGGACAAATGGCCATTTCTGTGGACGGATGTCTTTCACGTACAGGACATGATGAGTCCAGGAAAACAACACATCTGAGGCGCCCTTGCAACGCTGGTCATCAATTCTCTCACATTCTCACTTTGCCCATTTAAGATGGAATTGTTCCAATGTTTTTTTTAAAGACTTTTAACCTTAATCTGAATGTTTGAAAATTAAATATTTATGAGTTATTATTCAGAAATCATGAGATGCGGTCTGGTGTGATGTAGGTTTCAGAAAGACATTTTCTTTATCGTGACGACGTTTCGATCTTTATTGAGATCATCTTCAGGGCCTGGGATTTACAAACATTGTTTACATTTAACAAATACATGTAGGATGTGGAAAAAAGTGAATTTATACAATGCAAAATATATTTTTTTATATTCAATCAAAGTATTTCTACTCACTCAACGTGTTTGTTTTCTGTGTAATTGTGCCAATGAGTTTATGAGTACCACTTCGTTGAAATTCTCAACAAAAATCCTTCATAATTGACTAAGAGATCAAGTGAATTATTTGCTTTGCTTCCTCAACTAAATTTTCTCGACTTGATATTTGAATCGGTGAATGTAACAAGGTTCAGATTCCAAAATTGGTTGAAATAAGTGACGAATACCATTTTGTAGCCGTTTCTAGGCGATATCGAATGAGTCAAAAACGGTTAACATTACAGCGTTACTTAGGGTATAAAAATATTAGTGAGACGGATAAGATTCCACACAGTTTCTTACTTTTCAATTAATTAAGGCTTTTAATTGAGATAAAAAAGTCAATGTCACGAGCGGGATTCGAACCCACGACCTACGGCTTGATACGCCGCTGTTCTACTACTTGAGCTATCGTGACCTCGATCCACTCAGACACTAACTTCCAATCTCAACCCCACCTTTTGAATTTTCCCTCCTTTTTGCCATTTTTCAAATGTCGTGTAATCTATTTGATTCTCGGCGACAAATTAAATGGCCATGAGCTTTAGCGAAGGTATACTTCATTTTAACTTATTAAATTCATTCGTGGTCCGCTTGACCAATTAATATTTTTCAATTAATTAAGGTTTTTAGCTGAGATAAAGGGTCCGGAGTGGATCGAAGTCACGATAGCTCAAGTGGTAGAGCAGCGGCGTATCTAGCCGAAGGTCGTGGGTTCGAATCCCGATCGTGACACTGATTTTTTATCTCAACTGAAAACCTTAATTAATTGAAAAATGATGTTTGTAGATCGACCTGCAGATAATCAATGTAGAGTTC